CGGCGGCGCCGCCCCGAGGGGCTGGGGCTGGGGGGGGGATCCCCTCCCGTTCCCGCTGGGCCCGACCCCCCCTCCCCGCGCCGTCGGGGCCGGGGGTTCCCGTGGGGATGCCGACGGGGCGGGGCGGGGCGGGGGAAGCAGCAGCCGCGGCGGCCCCCAGGGATGCAGAGGAGGCTGAGCCGCCCCACGGGGGGGCCTGGGAACCCCCGTCACCCCCCCGAGGAGGGTCCTGGCACACGAGCCCCCCCCGACTCCCCCAATCCTCCCGACTGCCAGCAGAGGCCGAGGGGGGGCATTTACCCACCCCCCCATCCCGGGGGATGCTCTGCGCAGGTGCATCCAGCTGCCCCTGGCCCGGAGCCACCCGCTCCTAGAGCCCCCCCCATCACCTTGGGCCGCCCCCCAAGCCCGTCCCCTTCCCCCCCGCGCGGCCGTCCAGCTGCCGCCGCGGCCGAGCGCCCAGGTATTAGGACGGGCGCCTTCTGCTTCGGAAGCGGCTAATCCACAGGGAGCGGCCCCGGGAAGCCTCTTAACCCCCCCGGCCCCCGGCAGACGCGTCCAGCTGTCGGGCCCGGCCCCCGGCATTTACCTCCTCTCACACGCAGCCCAGCTGGGGAGGCCGCGGCAGCGACGGGGCCCAGGCGTCCGGCACTGACCCAACCACCCGCCCCCGGCCGCAGAGCCGCCCCCCACGCCGGGCAAGGAGCAGCGGACGCGGTGCAGGCGGGAAGGGCTCCTGGCAGCCCAGCTTTATTCCAGGGCAGGTTTAGCCCGCGGGGTCCCGGAGTGGCAGCGCCCGCGCCCGGCACTGCCGTCTCTCCTCCGCCCGGGCTAAGGGAGACCCCGGCGAGGCCCTGGGGGCGCCGGGACYGGGCGGCTCCGCGCTGGGATAAGGCACGTCCGTGTGTCCGCCCCGCGCGGGGCAGGGCGCCCGGGCGAGGCCGAGGGGCAGCGGGGGCGCCCGCGGGAGGGTCGGTGCCCTGCGGGCAGCCGCGGGTGGCAGCCGGGCCCCCCGCCGCCCCCCCGGGCCCTCTTTGGTCCTGGGGGCGCGGGCCGGGCTAGAGGCACCGGCGCACGCGCTGCAGCAGCGTCTCCAGCTGCCCATCCAGGGACAGCTCGTCCCCGTCGTTGGTGATGACCCAGTCGAAGGCCACCCCTTGGTCCAGGCCACACTCGGACTCGGCGTCGTCCACCCCTGGYGGGGAGCGGGGCGGCCGGTGAGGGCCCCGCGCGGCCCCGGCACCGAGGGCGCCCGCGGGGCGGCCGCTCACCCGTGACGAAGACCCAGTTCCTCCTCTTCCTCGTCTCCTCGGTGGCCACCACGCGCACGGTCTGCACCGCGTCGCCATAGACGTCGCGGAACCACTCGACGTCCGAGAGGCGCCGCGTGTCGCTCACCACCTGCGCCCGGCGCCCGTGAGCGGCCGCCCCGTGCGGGACCCCCCGCCCCGCTCCCGCTCCCGCTCCCGTCCCCGCTCACCCACACGGGCTGCGCCGCCCCCTCCACCACGATCCGGCAGAAGAAGCCGGGGTCGGCGCCGCGCTTCTCCTCGCCCCAGCGGATCATGTCCTGCCTGTAGCTCTCCTTGTAGGCGCTGGCGTCCAGCAGGCGCTGGAAGTCGAGGCCGTGCTCCTGCGGGAGGGCGCTGCACGTGAGCGGGCGGCGCGGCGCGGGGTGCTGTCGTGCGGGGTGTTGCAGTGTAGGGTGTCACTGCATGGCGTGTTGCAGCGCGCGGTGTTGCAATGTGAGGTGTCACAGCACGTGGTGTTGCTGCAGAGGGTGTTGCAATGTGGGGGTGTCGCAGCGCAGGGTGTTGCAGCGTGGGGTATTGCAATGCAGGGTGTCACAGCGCAGGGTGTTGCTGCACAGGGTGTTGCAGTGCGGGGTGTTGCTGCACAGGGTGTTGCAGTGCGGGGTGTTGCAGCGCGTGGTGTCACTGCACAGGGTGTTGCAGGGCAGGGTGTTGCAGGGCAGGGTGTTGCAGGGCCGGGTGTCACTGCACAGGGTGTTGCAGTGCAGGGTGTTGCTGCACAGGGTGTCACGGTGCGGGGTGCTGCTGCACAGGGTGTCACGGTGCGGGGTGTTGCTGCACACGGTGTTGCTGCATGGGGGGTTGCAGGGCAGGGTGTTGCTGCACAGGGTGTTGCAGTGCGGAGTGTTGCAGGGCAGGGTGTCACTGCACAGGGTGTTGCAGCGCAGGGTGTTGCAGCGCGCGGTGTCACTGCACAGGGTGTTGCAGCGCGCGGTGTCGCGTGCGGCGGTACCTTGGCATACTGCTCCTTGAGCGGCCCGGAGAGGCGCAGGATGGTGCACACATCGGGGCCCAGGCTGCCGGAGCGCCGCCGGGTCAGCGCCGCGCTCCCACCGCCGCCCAGCACCGCAGGGCTCTCCCGGGCCTCCTCCGGAGCCGGGAACGGCCCCAGGCTCCCAAGGGAGACCCGGTGTGCCCGGCACCAGAACCAGCCCCCAGGGACAGCCCCTCCAGAGCAGCCCGTTCCCCAGTCCTGGTCCAGCTTCCCACAGAACCTGCCCACTTCTCCCCAGTATCAGCCCAGTTCCACCCAGTACCGACCCGATTCCCTCCATATCAGCCTAGTTCCACCCGGTACCGACCCAGTTCCCCCCATATCAACCCAGTCTCCCCTGTGCGACCCAGTTCCGCCCAGTTCCCATCCCATTCCTCCCGGTACCGACACACTTCCCTCCCCAAAGGCCCCGGGGCGCCGGGTGCCGGCSCGGTACCGGCTCTGGATCTCCTCGGCCACGAAGTCCTTCCCCGACTTCCTCTTGCCGCTCAGCAGCAGCACGACCCGCGGCGCCGCCGCCATGGGCTCCGCCGGGCTCCCCCCCGCGCGCCCGCCGCCGTGGTACGGCCCGAGGGGCGTGGCCACGGGGGAGTGGTCACAGGGGCGTGGCCACGGGGGTGTGGTCATGGTGGGCGTGGCCACGAACATCGCCCCTCCCCTCGCCTCGCGCTGCTGCAGCCCGCGGGGGGCGGGGCCGAGCGGCGCCGCTGGCTCCGCCCCCTC